GAACCCAGAACCAAAACACTACCTTGCAATCCACTTTATAGACAAAAGACTTATACAACAATTGCGTTATCCCTTATTGCAGTATATAAATGTAGAAATATATATATATATACAATTTCATTATAATCCCATTCTATTCGGTATATAGTCCTCATCCCAGTTTTCGACTGAAGAAAGCAAAAAAAAAGAGAATATATACATGAGGTCGACCAATTGGTAGGTAATCTTGGATATGAAATAACAACTAACCCCTTTCACTATCCCTCACGGTCCCCCTCTGCCCCATCCTTCCTCCATGAACAAACAAACCAATAAAGCAATAGACCAACAAATCAACACTACACTGTGCTCAGGCAATGGCAATGGCAATTGCAATGGCAATGTAAGAAATATAGATGGGATGGGATGGGATGGGATGTTGTATATAACTGTACTGTACTGTACGTTCACCATAATTGGTTGTATTGAATAAGGTCAAGATCGAGTTCAAAAATAGCAAACTACGACATCAGTAATAGATGATGCACTCCCTGCTGCACCAGTGTTAAATTACGTATAAGTTGAGGTGTATCGAAAGAGTTATTCTTTGCTACACTTCTTGAGTTAAAATTGTTTTATATTAACTAAACAAATGTACAGTTCAAGTGCAACATATGAAGCACATCTTGTTCGAATCAAGTAAACCCCATCTTATTGAGACGCATGGATATTTTGTTTTGTTTTGTTTTATTTTATTCCATTTCATTTCTCATTACAACAGAAACAGCACATTTATTGCATTATCCATTTATCTAATATCTAGAGAAATTCTGACCTCAAGAGGAGCGATGTCTACTTAATTAGTTCAAGTTTATATTGTTTTGTATTGTATTTTATTGTATTGTTATGATTGATAATCGATTGGTTCAACTTCATTGTATCAATTCTATATATTTGTACATCTATGCCTCTTTTTTATAGCATTTCCCCACTGAGTTGTTCATTCCAGAGATGGATATCTTTTCACTTGTTGACATCCAGATGACAACTGTAATGATTAGTTTGGGACTAATGAAAACTTGATTAGATTAAATATCGATCGTAATTGTATCCTTTATACGTTGTATTTACGTTATACAGAGTTTAAAGAAACTCTGAACCCAATTGTGTTGGTATAAAGGAGGGTGTCTTTACTTTTTTTTTATGGATTACGTTTGTTTATATTGAATGTATTGTTAATTCTATTTCTTATATATAACCTTATTCATCTATTTACACATATACAGACCAATACGGGGTGGTCGTCGAATTGCAACTAGTTATAGTTAAAAATTATCTAATATTTAACTATATTTATTTCTCTCTCTCTCTATATATTGGCGTTATATTAAACTAAACTATGAAGTAATTAAGGATATTAAAAGACTAATTGATATAGCTTGTATAAGATAAACAAAGCAATCAATGTCCATACAGCTAAGAAGATAATTAAGTTATTAGCACCGAATTTGAATACGTACAATTCCTTCAATTGTTCTAAATATTGGATAATAACTTTACCAGATAATTTTGATTCACCTTCAGTTCTAACACCAAATGAAAATGGAATTTCGCCGATTGATTGATCTTGTGGTAATGGAAGCTTGGCCAATAATTCCAAGGCAATTTTAAAACCTTGTTTATTAATGTCTTTATCATTGGCTTTCAACAAGTACTTCTTTTGTAAACCGAAAAAACCACTCATTGGGTCAGAAGCAGTGGTCAATGGTTTAGCCATTGCTCTAGCAGTAGTTGAAATAACTCTACGGTGTAATGGCCAATCTTTATCAATACCAACACCTGGTGCATATCTTGTACCTAAAACAAATGGATGGGATCTTAAAGAGTCTAATAATTGAGGAACACTTTCTGGTGGATGTTGTAAATCAGCATCCATACAGACCAAATATTCACCTTGTGCATCGTAGAAACCTTTTAAAACAGCACTTGATAAACCACGTTCATCGGTTCTGACGATGATTTTAACATTATAACCTTCTTTCTTCAATTTTTCAACTTCTTCAACTGAACCATCTTGAGAATTGTCATCAACAAAGATCAATTCAGTGGTTTTTGAGCCTTCGTTGCCCAAGGCTGCAAATAATCTTGTAGTCAATGGTTTAATATTCAACTTTTCGTGATAAGCTGGGACAATAACAGAATTAACAACTGACATGATTCAATGTTTCACTGATGGGGAAATAAGCACACTGCACTTCTGATTTATATTGGAAGGAGAACAATGGTAAAAAAAAATTAAAAGAAGAAGTTAAAGTTTTATAAATAAAAAAGATACTTTAAAATATATGTAATCAACCTTTATTAATGAGTTTCATCAATTGATGGTTAATTTATACATTCTTCTTCATAGTACATACAATCGACGTGTCTTATTTTCGAATTTTCATAAGATGATGAGGTGATAGTCTCGAAGTCTTACCCGGATTATAATATTTCTTTAACGTATTTAACCATTAACATATATAAAAGTGATAAACTAGCAAGAACTAAATACACTGATGATCAGTCCAGTCCACCACCTATTCATTCAAATGCGTATCAATAACAATTAGTAGTATGATTCTGTATCCTTGACTCTACAAATACATGATATCTATGCAATAACGACAACACAACAGGCTAAAAATGAGTACAGAATAGAACAAAACAAAATATAAAAGAATAGCTAGCATGTGTTGCGATGAGAACGATACCCCCCAAACTATATTGTCCTATTATCTTATTCATTGAGTTTTTTTATCTAAATCTTCTCCAACCCATAGTACGTTATTGCATCTTATAAAGATATCGCCAACTTTACCCTTTGATACGTTATCTATCACTTCTTCAGCATCAGTTAGTTGTAGATTAAAATAATTGTCAGTGGAAACCAATTGACCTTTATATTGAGTTTTATTAAATTTCAATGTAACCACTACTGGTTTATTAACCAATTCTTTCAAAAAAGGTTTTGGATTAGTTGGTTGGAACTAAATTGTATTCATGAAATTTCAATAGATAAAAACAGTTAGTAAAATTAAACTTTTCAAAGATGGAAAGAAAGCTTATTAAACATACCTCAGACATTGTAAATAAGTATTAAAATATGTGTATGTCTATCTGACTTGTGAACCTTAAACTGAATGGTATGCCATCTATACTTTGACCAATAGTTTCTTAAAATCTACAACAACAGTGGTAAGACCAACCCATATTGCATCGATGTGAATTGGAACATTTTCAAAATCTTTCAAATGAACCTGATGCGATGCAGAGAAATATAGTGAGAACAAGGTATACGAAATTAGCAAAATGGATGAGTAGAAATGATAGAGACAGAGTAAGACCAATAAATGACAGCCCTATATAACCATATATATATATATATATATATACGCACATCGAGATCAAATTACACTTATATATTACTAGTTTACATATGTGAGCTTTGTATATAGGCACAATAACGTGATTATACTAATAGAATGTATCAAGAACTAGTATTTTTTTTTATTGGAAGTAGGGTTCACGATGTCACAGCAATCAAACAATACAACCACCACCACCACTGACACAACATAGCTTGAACTCATCTTACAAGACCCACTATACCAAATTGTTAAGTTCAACATCTTGTCAACTTATAGTGACATATATACAAAATACATAGTGGAAGCCTGTTGGTTTTACTTTTAGCAGTATACATTTATTATCATTGTTATTATTAGGACGTTGTCGTATAGGATTACATTTCAATCGATCGATTCGTCTATTTTTTCTCTGTTGTTTCTTTTTTTTCTTTTTCATTTTTCCCATTTTGGCCCAAACGACGAGAATTTCCTAATTCAATTCGAAATTCGAAATTGGAAATTGGCGAAATTGTGAAAAGTTTCATAAAACACACCAACCAATTCAAAAAGAAACAGATTTAGATAGATGGAATGGATATTTAGGTTCGAATCTATAACTCAATTTCGGTTATTTCTTGTTGGATAGTTCTGTTTTGTTTGTCTAGTTAGAAACATACTAAATTGAATTAATAAATTAAATTAACCTAAACTCAATTATATTAAATTAATTGCTGTGGATCGCAATTGGACGTGTGGCAGGAACATCAGTCTATTGAAAAGTATCAAATATTATTAACCATATAATATATTATCACTGTAGAAATTTCATTCTTTTATAGACTACACCTACATACATATATATATATATTTCTATATATATATATATTCAATTGGCGTGGTGGGAGAAACACACACACACACATACACACATACACAAACCATAACCACTTTATTTTTGGGAAATGGATTTCGAAACAAACGAAGACATCAATGGGATTAGGTTCTCTTGGAACGTTTTCCCATCAACAAAGGCGGATGCTGCTAAAAATGTAGTTCCAGTTGCATGTATGTACACTCCTTTGAAAGAAATTGAGGAACTCAATGTCGCAGCTTACAATCCTGTGATTTGTTCAGGTCCTCAATGTAAAGCAATTTTGAATCCTTATTGTATTATTGATCCAAGAAATAACTCATGGACTTGTCCAATTTGTAATTCGAGAAATCATTTACCTACTCAATATGCCAATATGACTCAAGAAAATATGCCAATTGAACTTCAAAATACTACTGTCGAATATATTACAAATAAACCTGTTCAAATACCACCTATTTTCTTCTTCGTTATAGATATCACTACAGAACAAGAAAATTTAAACGCTTTAAAGGATTCCATTTTAACCTCGTTGTCTTTATTGCCTCCAAATGCATTGGTCGGTTTGATTACTTATGGTAACGTCGTCCAACTGTACGATCTGTCATGCTCAACTATCGATAGATGTAACGTGTTTAAAGGTGACAGAGAGTATCAACTAGAACAATTGATCGAAATGCTAACTGGTCAAAAATTAACAAGCAATATGGGTGCCGCTATCCAAGGAACTAAAGTCACTCCTTTCTCTTTAAATAGATTTTTCCTACCTTTAGATCAAGTCGAATTCAAATTAACCCAGTTACTAGAAAATTTGTCTCCTGATCAATGGACCGTCCCTACCGGTCATAGATCTTTAAGAGCTACTGGCCAGGCTATCAACATCGCATCTTTGATTTTACAAGGTTGTTACAAAAATTTCGCTTCAAGAATCATCTTGTTTGCCTCTGGTCCATGTACTGTAGGCCCAGGTCTGATTGTCTCTTCGGAATTAAAAGATCCAATTAGATCTCATCATGATATCGATTCTGATCGCGCATCTCATTACAAGAAGGCTTGCAACTTCTACAATCAAATAGCTAAAAGAGTATCCGAAAATGGCCACACCGTTGATATTTTCGCTGGTTGTTATGATCAAATTGGTATGTCAGAAATGAAAAGACTAACTGATAGAACCGGGGGTGTCTTATTGCTAACCGATGCTTTCTCCACAGCTATCTTCAAACAATCTTATTTAAGAATGTTCTCAAAGGATGAAGAAGGCTATTTGAAAATGGCTTTCAATGGTACAATGGCTGTTAAAACAAGTAAGGATTTGAAATTACAAGGTTTAATTGGTCACGCTTCCTCTGTCAAGAAAACTGATTCAAACAATATCAGTGATTCAAAGATTGGTATCTCTGGTACTTCAACTTGGAAAATGTCTGCAATCACACCATATCATTCATATGCAGTTTATTTTGAAGTTGTCAATACTGCCGCTAGCAACGTTCCTGTTGGCGGTGAAAGTGCTCATCTAGCTTATACTCAATTTGTTACAAGTTATCAACACGCTTCAGGTACAAACCGTGTCAGAGTTACCACTGTAGCAAACCAATTGTTGCCTTTTGGATCTCCTGCAATTGCCGCTTCTTTTGATCAAGAAGCAGCTGCCGTCATCATGGCTAGAATTGCCGTTTACAAGTCTGAAAAGGATGATGGTTCAGACATCATTAGATGGATCGATAGTACTCTGATTAAATTATGTCAGAAATACGCTAGTTATAACAAAGATGATCCTTCATCTTTCAGACTAGCAGGTAACTTTTCATTATATCCTCAATTCTCTTATTACTTGAGAAGATCTCAGTTCTTGAGCGTTTTTAACAATTCGCCAGATGAAACCGCATTTTACAGACATATTTTCACAAGAGAAGACACTACAAACTCATTAGTCATGATTCAACCAACTTTGACATCATTCTCAATGGAAGATGAACCACAACCGGTATTATTGGATTCTATCTCCGTTAAACCAAACACCATCTTATTATTGGATACATTTTTCTTTATCTTGATTTATCATGGTGAACAAATTGCACAATGGAGAAAAGCTGGTTACCAAGAAGATCCAGAATATGCTGATTTCAAATCTATGTTGGAAGAGCCAAAATTAGAAGCCGCTGAATTATTGGTTGATAGATTCCCATTACCAAGATTTATCGATACCGAGGCTGGTGGATCTCAAGCTAGATTTTTATTATCTAAATTGAACCCATCGGACAATTATCAAGATGCCACACATGGTGGCTCTACAGTGGTCTTAACAGATGATGTTTCATTACAAAACTTCATGTCTCATTTACAATCTGTCGTCGTCAGTAATCAAGCCTAATTAAGGTAATTGCTTAGAAATGATATCAAACTAACAATTTCCCCAAAAATCAAAAGTGATATCGAAATTAACAATATCATATAAATTATAATACTAATTATAATAATAATTGTAACAAGATCGAGGTAAAGCACTAATCAAGTTCCATACTTTTTAATTCATATCATTTTCCTATTATAATATGAGTAGCTTGAAGCCAATTGACCAAAAGAAAAAACAAAACAAACAAAGGTTCAAATGATAGTAACAGCGATGTTCATTGAGACAATACTTTTAACACGTAAAGTTGGCTCACCATTATTGTTATTATCTTTATCATCATCATTTTTATGATTCCTTTTATTTTAATTATTTATTATATTTTTATATAAATCCATTAACATGTATTTTAGATAACATTTAAAAGATAAAAACATATTTTCAAATTATTAACCCCCAAATCAATTTTAAATGACAAATTGAACATCCATTCATAACAATAACCCTCCTTATCTCTTCATTTTCATTCCTGTCACCTCCATCAAAATGCTTCCTCTATCTTGCAGCTTTCTATTATGTTCGATATTTTTTACCGGAGAAATGTTGCTTTAATGTATTTGATTATGGCAATATCAAATAAGATATAAAACGAACACTACAAGAAAAAAAAAAAAAGAAGTTAAGATCAAGACAGTTGTTAACTTCGAAGGAATGTTTTAACTTTGAAGGATTAGTTATTTTTTGAACAGTAGTAGAACTTATTGTTTGTTATATTAGGAGCCATTGAATTTGGCTACTGTATTTGAAATTTTGGATTATCACATTGAAGACAGTTCTGTCTTAGATATTAGAAATTTTATATTGCCTACTATAGTAACAGTGATAGTAGAGGTAGAGGAAGTGGAAGAAAGAAGAAGCAGACGAAGTTGAATAATTAAGGTTAAATTTGGTTAGAATTATGGATTTGTTGAAAATATTAGATACTAAACCAGTACCCGGTATTGTAGATGCTAAGACGTTAGATATATCTGGAAATACTTCAGGTGACTATTGGTTACCAACGACTATGTGCCTTTATCAGAAGGAGTTGACAGATCAAATTGTATCATTGCATTATTCTGATATTTTAAGATATTTTGAGACTAATGACTATAAAGAAGATGTTGTTTTACAATCCTTAGAGACAATGTGTTTAAATAGTCAATATGTGGCCACTCATCCTTATTTATTAATAGATCATCACATGCCAAAGTCATTAGTTAAAAAGGACCTTCCAATGCATCTTACAGAGACAAGTGGTAAGTTTGCTGCTTTGAGAGATCTAGTCAATATTTTACAGGAATATGAAAATAATATTGCTATAATATGTAGGAAAGGAAGAACGATGGATTTATTAGAGGCATTATTACTTGGGAACAAAGTTAACATAAAAAGATACGATGGGAATTTAATCAAATCAAAACAAAAACCTAGGAAATGCTCGAGTTCTTTCCATCTTTTCCCTTCTACTGATTTACAATTTAGAAAATTTCCAATCCAAATAAATGACGAGTTCGATATTGTAATAGCGCTAGATCCAAGTGTCGATAGTACAGATCAAGATATCCAATACATACTTAAATACAGAAGAGATAAAAATACAAGCAATCGAAAGGCACCATTGATTAGAATGATTGCAATAAATTCGATAGACCATTGTGATTTGTATTTCAATAAAAAGTATAAAAATGGAAGCAAAGAGCAATTGGAATACAAAACAGCTGCTGTTGTTGTTCTAAGAGACAGAGTAGGCATCCTGCCCCCAGATTTAAGACCAATTTACTCTCAGAAGTTAAACTACTTGGTCGAATGGATAGAGAATCCCACACTACCTTGGCCATTACCTGATGTTTTTGCAATTAAAGAATACACACCTATGGATGTTGAAAAATCTTTATTAACAGAAGTGAATTATTCAAATACAGAGGATTACCTGGAAGCTGCTTTTACAACTAATAGAAAACGTGGAAGAGCACCTGAAGATAGGGATGCCAATAAAGAATGTAACATCCCCTCATTTTATGATGTGAAAAGAGTTCAAAATGATTATTCCACAAATCCGTTGAAACAAAATATGACTCAATTGACTGGTATAACAACAGCAAATGGGTTGGATAGCATCGATTACCATCTTTCAAGTGGTATTTTAACTCATAAGCTAATCCAGTCAATAAATGAAGTATATAAAGGAATCCAAAGACAATATGACGAGATAAAAGATTATAAAGATGTCCAATCTATTCAGCTTAACCATGAAAATTATTTGAAAGATGAACAGTCAAAAATGAAAACGAAATATGAGGATGCTAACTCAAAAAAAGATTCAAATATTTCGACCTCAACTGTACTCGATACAGAAGGCACTGAAATCCACAATCGAATTGATACGTTAGATAAAAAGAATGAAGCAGATTTGAAAACATTAGAAGAAAAAGGTGAGTCCTATAAAAACTTAAAAGAAATATATTTGAAACAAAAAGAGTTAAAAGATAACCTAGAGAAGGAAGAAAGATTAAAAATATCTAGAGATTCAGAGAAAGAATATATGCAGAAAGAAATATCAAGGGCAGAAAATGCGATTCAAGAGTGTAATGATGAAATTTCAAAAATTGATATTGAAATGGCAGAATTGTCTACTAACTTAGAAGATAAATTTACTTCATATAGAGAAAAAACTGAAAAAGTACAGGAAAAAATATCCAATCTCAAGAAGTCAATAAATAATGAGGAAAATGATTTAATCAATCTGAAAGAAAAGTTGAGAAAGACTCTAATGAATTTGAATAATCTACCTACCCCAAGGATTAGAGTTTCGAATGGTAATAACAATGGGAATGAATCTTCAAGCAGAAGGTATAAAAATCGTACTTAATCTATATAAGGTGTAACAATAAAAGTAATCATAATAATAGAATCAAGACTAATAAAATAAACTTGCATTGAATATCACTTGAATCATTATTAAAGAATCTATTAAATAATACATTAAGGTGATCTATAAAAATTACCTAAATAGCTTCCATTGACCAAAGTTTTACCGATCTGTCCCAACCTCCGCTTACAATCGTTTGATAATCTGATGATATATCGATTGATAGTATTTTGTCATTGTGTCCCTGGAGAGTATGAATTTTCACCCAACTATCACTGCTAAAGACATTAATATCTTTATCATAACTGGATGAAATAAGGAATTTGCTATTTTCTTTTTCAAACTTTAAGTCAGTTACTACATTCTTATGTGCGAGAATTGTTTCAACGTCATCGACCTTTCTCAAATCCCAAATTTTAATTGTTCCATCACCACT